TTTCCTTCACAGGACATGTGCTTTCAACTACATACTGTTTATTTACTAGTTTGTTCTAATATAACTATGCCATGTTTGGTCTCATCTGACAGCTTATAAACTGAAATAAATGGTGGTGAACTTCATAGATATCCTAATGTACAATCTATGTACAATTGGTTAAACATGCATTGAGGAGAATATGTTAATGTTCTTCTCCCCCCCTTGATCTCCACACATTTGCCTGACGGTCGGTTTCGGTGTTGGTATTCCACTCATGTTTAACAATGCTTTTCTCAGGGTATAAGAAGGAAAGGTAAAGGCTTTAACCCCGCCACTCCCGCACACCGGTGCGTAACCTCTTCCTATATGAGAAAGGTTTTTACGGCCTTGTCTGCACAACAGTGCATTATTTGTTACAACTAAGTTTTCTATACAGTATGTTGTTTAATTCTACAATCTATATTTAAACATGTAACTTGATAAATAACTTTGCCTGCTTTAAAGGCTTTGAGAATCTTTCCTTTTATCACTAAGACAAATGTCTTGTATAACTTACATTATACAAAGTTCTTGTTGTTCTTATAACTACTTGTATACTTGTTGAGTAAAATTCTGAAGATCTTACCTTGTTGTTGTAGGTAAATACATTTTTTGTTCTAACAAATTTATTTTGCCTGAAGGCTTTACAGTAATGGTACCCAGTCAACAATTTGATCTCACAGTGATCTCACAATGAGCTCCCAGGATACTCGTGATGTGATTACAATCTGAGGTCACAGTGTAACTAAAAGTGTAAAAAAAAAAAGCTAAAAGTGTAACCTCACAGCGCCCTCACTGTGTGCTCGTACCATGATAGCAATGTGAGGTCAAAGTCCACACAAAGATTAGATACCCAGTATGCATTGCAGCATGAAGCTTTTGATTGTCACCATTGTTGAGATTCGTACGCTGATTCTTGATGTCTCTTTGTGTCTAAATGACAGTTCAAATGTTTGTGTCGTATTATGCATTCAAAATCCTTCGTAAATGATTATGACATTTCTGGATCACATACTGTACAATAACAGAGCTATTATAATTTGAAATGTAAAATGAATACCTCACAAACACTGCATACTGAATGTAGGTGATGATTATACTGTTATCATCAATTAATAACCAACATCACCTGGATGCATTCTTATTTGGCTTTTCCTGATATAACAAATGTGTCTTACAAACACAGTTACTTCAGCCAGAGAAAATATAATGTCTAAAAGGTCACGAGCCCACTGAATCCCCTGATTAATGCTCAAATATAATTATGTATACATCTATTGTGTTCATGTTCACAGTGATAGATTTCTCAAACTGTGTTTGTCATGTTTACAGCACAATGACTGGTTAAAAACCACTGCACATTTTTTTTTTTTCACTTGAAAAAACAAAGAAAGAAAGAAAATGAGAAGTGAACAAATAGGAAATTATTGTAAAGCTCTGAGAAGCTCTTTTCAGGTTGTTTTCTATGCATTAATAATTAATTGTGCCTTCTTCATAATGTACAGGCCAGCCTTATGCACACCCCAACACAATGTAACGACTGGATTTCTTCCCTCTCTATTCACATCTTGGTGGTCTCAACCCACTTTGTAATTTGCAGGTGATCACAGGAAAAGGCTGGTTGCTCTTAAACAGGTTACCGCCATGTGGAGTTCCTCCTCTCTGCCACAAACTGCTTTAATATTATTTGAATTTGCTTTTATGAAGGTGTTGACATCTTTGCAGACACCGTTAGCTCCGGTAATGCCACTATTCATTTCACTGTAACACTTCTGCTTACTCATATCAGGACCGAAATGCTGATTGAGGAATTTTTGATACCGGGGCTTTATATCTTCTGGTTGAGCATGAGTGGAGAACGACACACACAAGAGCAGGAGCAGAATCACAGCAGAATGATGAATCTCCATGACCTGCTGAACAACACACACACCAAAACACCTTTACTGACATTTGACTTACTAAAGCAGTTTGGTTGTGATTAAGAAAAACTGTTGAGACCCTTCCTTGTTTTTACTTGTACATATCTTAGTTACTTTAACCCAGCTGGGCACTTTTTTGTACACACACAGTTTCATGCAGTCCCTTCATTTGTCTGTATTATTGTACTTGCTGAGTAAAGTTCTTAAGCTCTTACCTTGTTGTTGTACAGTAAGTGAATATTTTGTTGTCTTCTTTTGCCTGAAGGCTTTACGGTAATCAACAGCACGGTAATGAACAAACCCCAGAAAATATTGATGAAACTTGCTCCAAACACCAGTTTAGACTTCACTGTTGTCCGTCAGTACCGCTGGAGTTTTTATTGAAAACATTAACGGTGTTTCAAAGTCCAGTTTCTAAACCAGAGCTAAAGTAAATTTCTTTTTCTTTTAAGACATTCTGACGCTCAGTTAAAACGTGACCTCACGCTTGATTTGACCAACTGTTTAAAAGCAAGTGTGAATGAAAGCCAATAGTGCAGTGGGATTTTGTTCTGGTGACACAGTGCACACATTATTTAGTATCATCTGAGACAAACTGAACAAAGCACAAGATGAGATTCAGTCTCTCCTCTTTCTTCACAGTGACGGGACGAAACGCTCAAGAACCTGCTGATGCTTATTTAAAATTTAAAGTTAAACGCTAAAGTTAAACACGGCTTACAGTTAATAAGATTAAATTGTGTATTGTATTCTCTTTTTTAAGGCTCCTTTAACAGATGGAAAAAAATATTTTTCAGTTTTATTAAACCAGTGCAATTTGTCACTCTCATGTTCTGTGTACTGCCCTATTACGCATTAAACAACATAATTTTAAGTTTTTATTTAATATTTATGATTTGAGTTTCCCACAATAATATGAAATATTGTTTTTACATGCATTTATCGGACCCACTCTTCTCCGTTTCACAGTTTTGGCCACATCTGACCTGAAGAAAGTCATTCAACCCATTGGAAACCTACAAAAATTTAGAAGAGATTTTATCACTGTTTTTTTTTATGTTATTTCTGAGCCTCTGAACGGGACATGTTGAAAAAAATATGGGATGGGGGGGGGGGGGGGGGGGGGGGGCTGAATAGGCTATATGAGAAGGATGCAGCCGAACGACAGGGTTTTTTATAGCAAGGGCGCCCTCTCGTGACCAGTGTGCGCCTCTCCACTTAGCCTACTGGGCAAAATTATGGATGCCAATTAACATTCTTTTACCACTTTAGATTAAAATAGCCCTATGTTTACAAAAAACAAAGTTTATCAATGAAAAATAAATGTAATAGTTGAACATGTTATGTCGGACTGAACATTGCATCATGATAGATCATGACACGTAATCAATTTATTCTAAGCTTGTACACTGCGGTTTCAAAGTAGTGTACAACACATCATGTTGTTGCAACACATTCTCACACCCCAACTCGTCACATATGGACGCTTGGGCACGACCCCCTGGCGTCACTTATTGACGCACTGGGTATACCTTTGTCGTCATTTTTCAACGTGCAGGGTAGTCCGATAGACTTCTATAGATCTCTGAACCGGAGCCTGTAGCGTTGAAATTTGACGTCTTGGGTAAGCTCACCGCAATGGTCTGCTGCGAATGGGTCGAGAGTCGAGACTGCAATAAATAAAAATAGAAAGGAATAGGCTACAATAAATGATCTATGCCAGGGCTAGTATAATGGTGGCCCCCAGATCATCTTTATCTGGCCCTCCATCTGTTTTTTTATGTTTAAAACCCCCCACAATCTGATATCAATTGCCCTCTCCGCAAAGGTTTAGCGCGTTCATAGGCAACTGCTTTCATCGGTGAGTTTAACAACGCTCATTGTGGTGTACAAACCCATTCAGCGGTGAGTTTAACAACGCTCAACTGCAGGTAAAGCGGCATTCAGAGGTGAGTTTAACCAAAACAACGCTAAACTGCATGTAGAACGGCATTCAACGGTGAGTTTAACAACGCTCCACGGCGTGTGCAAGTAAGCAAAGCAGTTTAAGCGTTTTCTTGTCGAAGGTAACTTAACGTTACTGGCATACATGATGTACACGTGCTAGAGCATGCTGGATAACGTATTTTTATCGTAGTTTTGTTTATGTTAATAAATATATATACTGTTTATATAAAATGTATAATGTTTTTTATTTAAATTTGTAAATTTTTTAAATCTTCTAAATTAATAACGCTGACGTCACTGTATGGGGCGATCCCAAGGTCCATTGCGATTTTCCACTCGGTAAGTAGAAGAGTTAATTAATAGAGATGGATACTATTCTTAAATGTACACATCAAAAACTCTTGAATCAGGACAAGAAGTTGTGTTTAGAACCTTTAGATGTGTAAGGTGGCAATTTATTTTGACAGTAAATGATAGAAGGAGACAATATAAAAATATAGCTTGCTGCACCAAATGTGCAGGCTAGCAAAGTTAGTTAGCTGCTAATTGAATTCAAGTTTTTGTCAAATTTTGTCGCATATAATTATGTAAGGTAATACTAGGGGAGATTTTAAGGTTTTCAGTATTACATTAGCACACAACTATTATTCAACATTATAAATGTTCATATGAAGAACGGTGTTGCCAGATTGGTTTGTTTTACAGCCTATTTGTTTAAAATACACGCAAAATTATATAATAAACACCCAAATAAATCTATAATTAACAATACAAATGAATTCATAACTACTACATTTTGGCTCATCACAATTTTTCAATATGAAATAAAACAATTAATATGTATAATTAATGTAATAAATAATGATATAATAACTTATTGACTGATTCATATATGAATCATATATAATGTTAGACCACATTTCTTGTCTAATTATTTTCTAAAATGTCATTAACAATATTAACTTATAACTGTATAAATTAATAGCACATAAAATATAGCCCATTCTGGCAACACAGATGAAGAGAATACTGGTGTAAAATGTTCAATTCTGTTTTTTCTTTAGGACCCTCAAATTTGGCAGCTTCAAACATATTTTTATTCTTACCCCCCCACCACATACACACACACATACACACACAAACAAAGGCACTTTTAAGAGCCACGTCTGTCTTGTTAATCTGTACTCATCAGTCTCTCTGTAGCTCTCTCTCTCTCTCTCTCTCTCTCTCTCTCTCTCTCTCTCTCTCTCTCTCTCTCTCTCTGTTTACATTTATATTTGTTTTTCTGTCATCTCTTCGTTGTGAGTCTTTCTGTCTGTTTGTGTTTCTGCCCATCACAATGTCCAAGAGTGATTCAGAAATCCAAGAACATCTCATGATCTTAGATAACTTGGTTGATGACCAAGAACTGAAGGATGAGCTCCAAAGTCTTGATGACCTTCTTGATGAGCTGCAAGAAGAGGAGGCAGCAGCAGCAGCACCAGTGAAGACACCTGAGCCGAGGGTGGTATGGAGAAAAAGAGACAATACTGGAAATATTGTTTATGCGAGGCCAAGATCAAGCAGGAATCATTCAAATGAGGGTCAGTATTGTTTTTCATTCGAGATATATTGTAGATCTACATTGTTTAACCACTTATGAGTGTATATGTTACAATACATGTATAGCTTAATAGGGCAGGGACACAATCAAACCAGAATCAATCATTTGATTTTTGACATAAAAAGTAGATTTATGAAAGATATCACTAGTCTTGGATTAAGTGAAAGACACATTCAGGCTAATTTTACATAGGCTATTTCTGTAAAGCATAAAAAATAGTTAATTGTGGGCTGTATTGACATTGTCAGGAAATCTTGTCAAAATGGTTATAATGTCAAATGAGCTAGCCTGGTTACCATCATACTAAATCTCTTTCAAGTTATTGGTCTTGGCAAGGCTGTGTTTGAAACAGTTTGTTCTTCAGAGTGTGTTGTCAATGGCCAACCAACTTGTTTCTTTTTAATCTGCTTCTATATAAGCATTCCTATTTGCTGTCATCATCTATACGACACCTTATATGCAGATAACCAATAGTAATTGGACTTCCCCCATTAGGGTTTGGGAAATAAGTGTACTAATAATTCTCTCTAGCTTTATGTTAAACGGTGAGCTTGCACCATTTTAAGCTGGCAACCAGGCCTTTGGACAAGTTATAAATGTTGATTTGTGTTGTTTTTTTCCTCTACAGCTGATCACATTCGGAAGACTGATCCTCCCTCCTTTGCTCCTGACACTAACAGTGAGGTGGCCTTCCCTCCAGAGACTGTTGGTGTGTACTTCATTGTGTCACCATTAGCCCTTGTATATATATATATATATATATATATATATATATATATATATATGACAGTGGGTTAGAATGTAAATAAATGTTTCTACTTTAAACTTTGGTAGAATACTGATGGAGTACACTTTAATATTGTAAAAAAAGAACTATATATATATATAGAAGGAAATTTTTGTTTTTAATATTCCATACCATTTACAGAGTGTTTTCTACAAGATCTCCAACACTCACTAAGCGAATTCTCAGGTGATGAAGCATCACCTCTTGAAACCCCAAGAGATCCTCTTCTGGCTTCCTCAAACTGGAGCAAACGACAAAGTCTCTTTTCAGAGAGGTGGAGGGCAGAGAGACCCCGCCTGGTAAACACGGCTGCGGCGCAAGAACATGTGGCAACACACATCTGCCAACAGTGTGGGAGTAATCCAGCTGCTGTCCGGTGTTGTGACTGTAGACCACGTCCATTCTTCTGTGCTGAATGCGACGTCAGCATGCACACCAGACATGTTCTTCACAACAGAGATGCCATGACTGCTGGATTCTTCCAACCATTGCCTCCAACAACTTTCGTGGTGGATAAGGCTCTTTCCCATTGTGGTAAGTTCTGGTTTGTGTGTACAACATATATATAATTTTCAGAATAGTTAAGCTCATAAGCTTTATTATTTAAATTATGCTTTTTTATCCCTTATTGTTTTATCTTGAATGTATGTGGATACTCTGTGTCAGTCAGCTTTTTGAGCATATCTTGAGTACTTTTTCAGCAATGTGCTTCATTGCCATTGATCTATTACAATCTTATATTTCTCAGTCAATACAAATTGATCATAATTCAAGTGTACTATATGTTCTTTTTCAGTCCGGCTTGTACCTGTGGAGATGCCTGACAAAATCTGTGGTTGTTCACCAGAGTCATTGAGGGTTAGTCCAGGCAAGACTGTTGCTGTGGTCACAATGAATGGTAAGAATGTGAATAACTTTATTTTGTCCTGTTTGAGAAGCATCTTAAAAATAAATATAATATCCATACGCGACTCCCTACAAGTTTGACATAGATATACAACTTTTAAAGTAATGTATAAATTGTACAAAGAACACAAATCCTGGTTTACATTACAGTGGATGTGTTTTTGATATTTCCAGGACGACATGATCTAAGCATGCCCGAGTTAATTTGTGAGGCATGCCAAGCCACTTGGACTTCTGGAGTCGCTGACCTAAACAGAAGTGACTACTGGCCTGCAACCCTTCAATTTGCCACAGTTTATGCCACAGATGTCTTTTTTTCATTTGAAGAAATGAAGATGGCGGCACCAGGACTGTCCTGCCAAGCATTTTTAAGAATGCTGAATCAGCGAACTGTCCGCTTTGGTCGTGTGAGTATTTAATTTATCTATCCTGCAGTGTTGTTGATATTTTTGAGTTGTGGTTTGATAAGCTGTTTGATGCTAATGTATTTGTTGTACATTATTAGCTGTTGGTTTCCTTAATTTTAATAGACTGGCAAGATCTCAGCAGACAGTTTTCTGAAAAGTTTTTTTGAGTGGGAGGCTGTGCGATTTGAGTTGGACAATATATGCAAGGAAGAGCCCTTCAACTGTCCTGCGTGCACCCCTGAAATGCTTGCAGTTTCAGTTGATGGAAACCGCAAGCATTATCGTTTCAAGAATGCTGCTAGGTACTCCAAACTGTGTATCACACTGTTTGTATTAATAGGAAAACATAACTCTTCAATGTGTGAACCAAGAAATCTCAGATTATAAGTTATCATAAATTGTTGTTCTTCACCAATTGTTGTTTTTTATTTTTTTAGATCTGAGGAACAGGCCATCTTTGAAGGCGTCTTCATTGCCAAGGACGAAGACGTGAAAAGATTTGTGGACCACATTCACAACACAACCAAACATGTAAAATTTTGTAAAACCTCTTTCCGAAGAGTTTGTTTAGGAGAGTCTTATTTTCATCCACCATTTTCCATATTGTAGGTCAGTGGAAGAGGTGTTTGTGGAGGGGAGTGGTCAGCAGCCAGAGAGACCTCACAAAGATCTGCCAGCAAGGTAGACGAGGAGGGATTGGAGCTTGCGGTGTGTCGGCACGGAGTCCTGCTCTGTGCCTTAAATATGTATAGGGGGGAAATTTTTGCCTATCCCCTGTACCTGCAAGAAAAGCTGGCCAGTAGGCAAATCACTTTTTTTTGCATGGATGTGACCTGCAAATATTGGCCCTACCTCCAAAGAGTTGCAAAAAGCTGTCCAGAGCTCCAGCACCTTCTCAACATGAAGCCATTCCTTTCGGTATTTCATGCCAAAGCCCATGATTTTAAATGCGAGGTAAGGAAATGTTGCTATGTGATAGAATCACATTATCTAAACTGAACATCTGCAAACATCTGGGTTTTTTTTGTTTATTGTTTTTTTTTTATTCTTAACCAGGTGAAATGGAGTGGGGCATGTCAGGATGGGGCTGGTTTAACACTGGGGGAGGAGGTGGAACAGTGCAATGCCTTCCTCTCTAGGATTGCAGTGACCACAAAACATATGTCAAAAGCAGGTAAGGTGACATACTGCACTAGGTACATCCTTACATAATAATTTGGAGGAATATGGTAACATCATATTGTCTGTGTTTGCAGGACGCACAGACATGCTGACTCTCATGGCCATGCGCTGGAATCAGCAAAAGTTTAACAATTTGGCAATCTCACTGACCCGCCGATATCAAAAGGTAATGACATCAGTAGAATTAATTTTAGATGTTCAGTATTGCATGTTAGCAGTGTATGAAGCTGTGCATTGAACATTTGGTTCTTGTTTCTTACTACTGTTTTTTATTGTAGACCACAAAAGCTCTGCAAAGCCAGTTACTAAACCTAGAGACCATGAAAGCCCAATTGACAGTGACAGCGAGCCAATTGGAAGACTGGGTGAATGATGTAAAGGATTGGGCTGACGGTAAGGAAATGATTACTTGTAATACATTTAGTCACAAATAATTGTAATTGTTACTGGTATTGTAAAGTGCAAACCACACCTATTTCTTCTCAGCAGCAACAACAACTACGAATGATGCTGATGCCTTGGCCAGCAGAATTGAGGTGCTGGTAGCCAGTATCAAGAGACGTTCCCAGTGCTTCAAATGTTATTCTGCAACCCCATACTATTTTAGAGGTTCTTTGAAGTTTGATGTTTAATACTAATGATTTATTTATTTATCATAAATGCATTCCAGACTCTGTCGATCTAAGGACAAAGAGAAGAGCTTTTGACATCATCATGTCAGTAAGGAGGCTTGAGGAGGAGCAGAAGATTCTTGTTGCAGAGATGGACCACCATTGGAAATCTCTCTCAACTCGTTCCGATACCCTCAGAGAGCTGTCCTGCTTGTTTTCAAGTGAGACAATGAGAATTATATATTTGTAATAAATTACATAACCATATGGTTGCACCGACAAAAGATTGCTATTAGGGGGCAGCCCTAATAAATATACACACAACAATGATGACTGTTTATAAAGTTTCTAAGGCTGGTCTTATATTCTTGTGTTCCTCTTTTAAGATTCACAATGTGGCCTAAGTGAAGAGGGTTTGAAAGGTCTGCACAGCATCATCCTCAGAAAGCGGCATCAAATCAGAGAAATGAAGGTGCAAGCAAGAGACTGTTACCTCCATGTTTTGTCTGGAGCAGAGAACATCAGCTTCTTGTACAATGCATCATCTGATGAGTACGACAGTGACTATGACATTTCTGATGATGGACTGTAATCTACAAGACTGTAACACCTTTCATACTTCTGGACAATTACCTTAACTATGAATATAAAGCATGTAATAAAATCTGATTTTTATCACCATATAAATAAAACCAAAGTGTAACCTCTTCTTTCACATAGATAGAAATGTGTACATGCATGCCTCTAAAACCAGTCAGTGGTGTAAAGTAATTGCATTAATTAAAGTACTGTGCTGTGTGGTACAGTAACTTTCATTAATTGAACTGTAGGGTGCTGTATAACAATTGAAACCTGTTTAGAGACATGGAAGAAGCAGATTATGAGGAAGAAAACCATAATGATGAGGAGGAATAACAAAGTCCTTTTATAGTCTCTGGGAATAATCATTATCATGATCACTACAGATCATTTGTTAGACACTACATTAAAAAATTAAGAACAGAATCCAAAACACGCAGTTACCAAAAAGAAATGTATCGCAACTAAGTAATAAAAAAAAAAAGTATAGTAATGACAAGGTAAATAAATTGTATACTGTAAGCACTGCAAGTAGGCTATAGAATTGTACTGAATATAGGTTAACGCTTCCTTTTACAGTACTGTACTTACCTAGAAAGTACTGGCTAATATAAGGTAGGTACATAGGCTAGGGGTAGGTTCAGGGTTAGTACCTAGTTATTACCCAGTGATTGTATTTACTATAATTAGTATATAGTATGTACATGGGTAAAATGCATATTGTTACCGAATATTGTATAGTATTGAATGTCTTCAGCACTGTCTTGCATACTGTGAAAATACAGTAAAACAACTGCAAAAGACAAAAAGGTTACAGTAAAAAAAGCCTGAATCAAAAGCATGTTAATGTACACTCAGAAGAATTATTGCAAAATCAAGGTCAGTGAGAGAGTGTTTCTGCTTCAGCATCATGTATTCATGTTGGTCCGGCCGGAGGACCTTGTCCACATCACAGACACTGTCATCTCAGGCAAAAGGAAAATAGCTAAAGCAGATCCAGCCTTTACAACATTCTCCATATCTTGCTCTTTCTCATCCTCCTCCTCTTCCTCTTTGTTCACCACCCATTTCATATACTCTCCCTCTTATATTGTTACCATCCATTGTTTGTATCAACATTCAGTGCAACATTTTAAATCAATTTTGGAACTGAACTGACTTGTATTATGTACAGTTGGTTTGATCTCATCAATTAGAAATAGGTGAACAATTTTGAGTTGCTGTGTGTAAACGATGACAATTGTGTTGTAGTTGTGTTTAACTTCTGCCTGCCTGTATAGTGTTTTGAAACATAAATACATCACAGTGCAAAGTGTGTTTTAGTGAGTGAGAATGTGTTAAGAGTTTTGCAAAAAGATAACATGAGATTTGCAACACAGTGTTTTAACTACCTGAACTTGTTTAATGTTTTACAGAAAGAGTGATTTATTCTACAAATTAGATTAGGGTATTAAGAATTTGGGGGGTTTAGTTTTAGCAATTCTGAAAAGTCTATTTTAAAACATTTGTAAAATATTACTGTATTTTTGTATTCCGAGTTCAGAGTCTTGCAATATGATCAAAACCAAACACAAGCATGATGTAAATATAGAAAAGGTGGGAAAGAAAAATTATGTGCAGATATAAATGTGACTCAATACAGTTTGTTGTCCATGATGAAGAGAGTACATCTGTGTAGGTTTTACTGCCCTTCCTCCCTCAGGGGTCCCGTAGCACCCCTGGAAGAGTAAAAAAACAAAAAAACAAAGCACATTCTGCAAAGTCTGCAAATGCAAAGTCTGATAAGCGTATAGAAGTGAAAATTGGTAGGACAATTATTTTTGTTATGTTTAATACATAATGTTGAACAGAGATATCTGGCATGCATGGAAAGGTGTTTTAAAAGCATTTTAAAAAGTGCTCACAGTAAAATACCACATTTCAGTCTGATTCTCAAATATGTCAAAGAGATTTGTATAATGAACATATTTAGATGTCCCTTTGTGCATTAAAGATTGTATTTATTTAATTCCATTACAAAACGTTTTTAAACTACATTACCCATAAGCCTCTATCATTGTGTCGATGGGACGGGCGCTGTAAATTGTAGTTCATTGAAGTGTGTAGTTACACTACAGGGTTAGGGTTAGGATCTCGCTAAACGTGTAATATCTTTCAATATTGCAATACCTCATTGTTAACTGATAGTATTACTGACGTCATAACGACAGCAAAACATAGTTTGCGATATGGAGCGCTTTTTATTCTGACATAAACGTTAATCCAACCACAGCTTGTCCTGCTGGCGCCATGGAAACGTCAAAGCTACGTCACACTTGTCCATTTGGTATTTACAGGCTCTTCCGACTTTTGACGCAAATCCAGGATATTTATTAGGGCCCAAGCCCAAAGGGCGAAGGCCCTATTGTTTTCCTTAGGATTATTTATTATTATTATTATTCTTATTATTTTTTTACTACCTTTTGGACACTTTTGGAGGCCTTAACATGCTCAAAAACTCCTGAAACTTTGCACACATGTCAGAACCCGCGGCCATCAGGGCCGGGCTGAAGATGGTACCCGGGCGTGGCAGGGGGGCTTGACAGCGCCCCCTGGAACGGGGTCCGAAAACATGGTCCATAAATCAAACACGCTTGCATGTAATAATATGAAACTCGGTACACATGTAGATCTCCTCGTTTCATATATACTTCACACTCTTACTTTTTACCCCAGCCCAACAGGAAGTCGGCTATTTAGGGTTGTTGGTAAAACACACGCAATGGAATGTGAAATACTCCTCCTAGAGAATTCAAACAAACGGCACGAAACTCGGTCAGCATGAAGTCAAGACATTGAGGATGAAAGTTTGCGAGGGGATTTTTGATATCTCGAACGGTTTGGCCGTGGCGAGGAAACAAAATTATGGCGAGAAACGTGAAACAGGAAGTGTGTCATAACTACTGCATACATTAACTGATCTTGGTGAAACTTCAACAGTGTGTTCGTTGTAAGAGCCCGATCACATGGATGTGACTATTGTGAGTCAAAGTTATAGCGCCACCAACTGGCAGCAGGAAGTGTGTCACTTCCTAAATGCTTTGAAATCACCCTCTTATTTTTACCCGATTTGCTTCAAACTTTATGTGTATAATGTAAACACACGGCAGATGTAGACCTGGGAAAGGATTATTGATATCTTAGATACTGTTGCCGTGGCAACACATCAAATTTAATATTCTTGTTTGATGCTTTTGAGACTCTTAGCATGCTTGAAATTGCATGAAACTCGACAGACACAGGTATGCATATGGTTCAGATCAAGCCGGACAACTTTCTAATTAACTGTCATTAGCTCAGACCAAGAGGAAGTTAGATATTTTGGTTTGAATGTGGATGTTTCTGAGAATTTTCTCTCCCTCTCCCTCTGACAGAGAGAATGCACCCTGCCATTCGTGTGTGTCTGTGTCTGTGTCTGTGTGGGGAGGGGGGGAGGGGCTCTTTTAGTTTAAACACAAAATTATACATAGGGCCATACTGCCCTCTTGTGTCCAAAATTATATTTATATATACATTATACATATATTTGGTATGTGACTGACGACCGAGAGCTTTTAAATACGGGACATTGATAATGGCCACGTGCAGAGCGCTCGAGGGAATTCCTATGGAAGTAGGAATGAACTAAAAGACGTTCGCTCTGTTCTGCTCGCTCGTCGCCATGGACGCGCACCGTTATGAATGCCAGTGCAGCCGCATACTTTTTAGTGTCACTTTAAAATTAGTGCAATAACGGGGCCGATTGCTTGAATTGTGAGTTCAATAGTCTATTATTTTTCACGGAAAACACAACAACAAAAGAGTAAAATGATAGATTCGCTTAAATAGGGGCTTTTACATAAAATAGCCTATTCCGTCATCATCTTTTCAGTCAGCTCTTCACTCTCGTGATTAATGAAATTTGACTCCTGTTGCTGATATTTGCTGCAACTTTCGTTCCGCTCACAATTTAGTAAGCAAACACGCTTCAAATGTGTTTTATTTTTGTGTATATATATGTGTGTATATATATATATATATATAGCTTATGTTTCAAATATGAGTTAATTAACAATCGTTGGAAAGAATGATACTTTTAATATCACTAAACCGTCATTAGGTGCCGCCAGCCGACCGTCTTAATGAGCGAGTCATTGATTCATTCGTTCAAACGATTCGTTCGAATGGCTGAGTCATTCATGAATGAGACAGATTATGGATTGGTCGTTGAATCTTTGAGTCAACCGATTCGTTCAAAATGCTGAATCATTCAGTAATGAGAACGCGTTGCTGTGAGATGCTCGATGGTTCTGCTGTGATCTTTGTTTAACTATTTTCGCTGCTGAAACAGAAAAAAAGTCAATATTGCATCTAAAATGTAAGTGATTTGACGTGTGTGTGTGTGTGTGTGTGTGATTGTGTCTGTTACAGTGATTGTTTAACCCTTGTTAAAGTTTAGGCCTTGTCTTTTTGGATATATATCTTTTTATATTAAAAACATAGCATACAACCCATATATTTTAAATGTATTGTTTGCTTTAAATTACATTGAGATTTGTATGTTTGGTAATTGAACCTGAATGAATTATAAATGAATGTGCTATATTTCAGATCATATATTTGTTTTCCTTAAAATTTGAACTAACACTAACTTTATTCTCATCTGAATGATAGATTATTTATTTATGTATAAAATAAAAACACATTTGATTTTTCTTTTTTAATCAATGTAGAATGTGTAACTGAAAAAAATAAACAGATTAGGGCTCTGAGGACAATAAATGAAAACCAATGCAATATGATGAATGTCCAAAAGATTTGTTTTGCTTTTAAACTATGGTGTGTGTGTGTGTGTGTGTGTGTGTGTGTGTGTGTGTGTGTGTGTGTGTGTGTGTGTGTGTGTGTGTGTGTGTGTGTGTGTGTGTGTGTGTGTGTGTGTGTGTGTGTGTGTGTGTGTGTGTGTGTGTGTGTAAGATATTTTGGTTGGGTGACAGTTGTAGTTTACAGTTTGACAAAAGCACAATGTTGTGTTTTATTGCGATTGTACACAAATATAAGTAAACACTTTGCAGTTTGAATAATGTCCTGTATGAACAAAAGGACGGAGTATGTTTTTATGTCTACATTGTTCAATCACGCCTCACACACAGACACACACACACACCAACTATTTTTCTAATCAGATCAGGCAAATATTCTGTCTTGGCACACTTCATATAACTTTCAAACTTGTGTACTTATTTCATGTGTCCATTAAGTCCATGAGACCATAGGGTGTCTCATTTTTCATTTTAGGTTTCAGAAGGTTGCTCACGCATACTTTGTGGTTGATATGTGCCCTCAATGCACACTTTTGCAGAGCCCACACCAATGCAAGCTCTACAGTACACATCTTCTCAAAGGTCAAAGCGGAGTTACGATATTGCCCGTCATGCACAGTAACCCTAAAGGCACCGGGGTGGCGGTGCCACCGGCTTGTTTATATATATATATATATAGAAAGGCACCGGGGTGGCGGTGCCACCGGCTTGTTTATATATATATATATATATATATATAAATATAGCTGCGAGCAGCGATGAAGGGCCAAAGCCGGCGGCACCGCCACTCCGGTGCCTTTAGGTAACTAAAGGCACCGGGGTTGCGGTGCCACCGGCTTGGGCCCGTAATCGCTGCTCGCAGCTATATTTTATTTTGTTGTTATTTTTCATTGAAAGAAATACAACGCTTAATTTCCATAACTATTTATGTATAATGTATTATTGTATAATGTAATAATAATATATATGATCTTACAAAAATACAAACTCTTGATAGTTATTATAGCATTGCAGTATTTGTTTTGAACAGATGTAAATAAATCTCTTAATCAAATTCAAAAGGGACTAACAAAAACCCTTTCAATGGAAACTATATATAATCTAATCAGTAAATTGATGCCATCATGTTCAACTTGAATGCCCACTACCTTATAGTTCACCTTAGTTTTTCATGTGATGTGCCAAAATATATGAAGACTTTTCTTTAACCCCTTCCCTTTGAAGAACACATTGCCCCCAAAATAAAAACAATATATATATATATATATATGTTTAATTTTACATTATTTTGCTGTGAATAAATGCAAGGCAAATATAAATAGGTAATTACAATTATAACAATTATGATTATAAATGTTAAAGAAATTAATATATTTAATTTTTGTAATTGAACATTTCAAACAGGACTACAACATTTAAGTGACATTTTAATATATTAAGGAGTATTTTTTTTATTATTCATGGCATGGCATACCAAACAAATAGTTCAAGTAGACTTACCTATACTAAAACAAAAAAATGTAAAAAATAATGCCTTTGGAAATTCCATTATGTCAAAAAGCACTAATTTTCTCCCTTATGATCTGTGCAGTTCATGAAAAAGGTTGTTTTTTTAAACACCATTAAGAAAATAAACACAAAAGGAGACTGGGTATTGTGCAAAAATCTTTAATGAACAAAAGCAAGAAAATAAATAAAAAAACGAAAAGAAGAAAAAAACTGCTTGAGTCCAGGTGACTAGGCTATCATGCTGAAAGCTGGTTGGGATGTGGGGAATTAGGCATCAAATGTGCGAATTCACTGGCAGGCTCCCACGTATCATCCCAAGTTTTGCCACTGTAAAATATCAAAAGTGCGAAAAAATTCATTAGAACACAGAGAAAACAAATCTAAATCACTGTTGGGTTCAATTTAGATAGTTCATCAAAATGTATTTATGTTTGTTAAAGTAGCATTAACCCTGGCTAAGCCCAGTGGTGGAATGTAACTGAATACATTTACTCAATTTACTTAATAACACATTTGAGGTACTTGGACTTAATTGTTACACAATGTTCCATACAGTTTCTGTATATTGAAAGCCATGTATCTCAAAATGTACTGATTTCAATATGTTTCCGATAAACTGAGGGATTAAGTTGTCATTAGTGGGATGAGGAAAATCACATTTCCAGCACATGTACATCAGGATTATCCATCTTAGAAGAAATACTAAATTATGACACATAAGTGTTTCAGATGCTGAAAGATTAATTTATGTGTGCATGATGCTACTTTTGTAATGCATCACTGAGTGGATGTCCTGCAGGCTCAATAAATAAGCTAGTTCAGAGCTAGAGCTAGCCACTAGAGTACTTACTAGAAACAGAAACCATGATAATTATAATAATAATTTGTTACATGTATATAGCACTTACATGATCACATCAGGACCATTTTATTGTCCATGCATTGGCTGTCTGTCAGCTAATTTTAGAACTATATTAATTACTCAAAAAGTACTGAATGGTTCAGATCCTCGTTACCTACAATCCATTGTGTTAATCACACAATTCCAGGATCTAAAAAATAGAGTATTCTAAATAAAAACAAGGAGGTAGATCATTCTCCCATTTGTCTTTAAAATTATGGAATAGTCTTCCGAGCATTCCAAATTCAGATATTTGTCTTTAGTTTGGACTGAGAGTGTGTCTGAATTTGGAATGCTCGGAAGACTATTCCATAATTTTTCATCATCGGAATGCATGTCCTAAAGGTTACTACCTGCCTAGGACCTACCTGCGGGATCTAGCACTTCTAAATGCCTCCACCTCATCGCTATTTGCTTCTGAGTACTGATAATCGACCTCACTCCAGTTTTTCTAAAGGCTACCTCAGAGGATGATTTACTGACGGGAACAACTACAGGACCAGGGAGTTTTCTCTTGTCACAGAAAACACTGACATGAACTTCCACCCTGCTTGCAAGACACCAGTTGAACTTTCCCTACATCATATTAATCATGGAATAGACTAATTTGCATTGCAACATGGAATTGAATAATTAATGAAACGTGACTTACCACACAGTGCATGGCAACCAGTGGACTTTCAATTCAGCTTTCCCCTACACACAAACACGAATAATAATTATTTGAACTGTTTAAGCAATCACTGAATAGGGCATAACATATTGTTTTATTATCTTTGAATGGTCCGAATCAGTCATTTAGAAAAGTAAACAGCCTAACAGAACACATTTTACCTCATTTATCCGTTCCCCAGTTATTCGATCAAACTGGAAAACCTTCTGCCTACTACATTTTCGGCAACCTGAAATGATGAAAAGACAAGGAAAGTTTATTAAGCCATGATTTGTAGCTGAATCAGTCCAAATTTATAATTTCACATTCGAGGTGATATGCAGTCCTTTCCATTCAGGTCAAAGTAAATTCATCCCTGTTTTTGTCAATCAAGCAAAAAGTACAGGATTGGTTTTCCCAAAGTCCTCTTAAAGGTTCTTGAACACCAATTCCAAAATTCACGTCCGAAATTTTCACACAGTACAAAATAAATACGACAAATAAATGTTTAGTCAATCAAGTTTACACACTGCCTACGAAACTTTCATCTGTTATAAAAAAATTAGTTTTTGGATCAGTAGCAAGAATTTTGAGAGGTGTTTTGACAATTCAGAGCCACCGAATGATGAATACGTAAAAACGCATATGATGTTTTATAAACAAAGTTCGGGAGGAGCACGTTCAAATAATTGATCCAATTATCACATCATTCCAACCAGCTGTCGACAATCAGTAATCAACATGTCTATCCAATGAGCTTGAGTTGGAGACCTATATATATATATACTAGGGCTGTCAAATGATTAATCACGATTAATCACATCCAAAATAAAAGGTTTTTTTTACATAATATATGTGGGTGCACTGTGTATAATTATTTTGTATATATATAAATACACACACATGCATGTATATTTAAGAAAAAAATATAATTTATATATAAAATATTTATATATAATATAAATTATATATAAATCTATATACAGTATATACATGAAAATATTTCTTAAATATATACAAGCATGTGTGTGTATTTATATATATACAAAATAATTCTACACAGTGCACCCACATATATTATGTAAAAAAAAAACTATTATTACTATATTAAACTATAAATTTAAACTATATTATGTAAAAAAATTATTTTGGATGTGATTAATCACGATTAATCATTTGACAGCTCTAATATATACTCATTTGACTCACCAATGTTCCTCGACTAGTTTTTCAGCATCCCTCCACCACCCCGTCTCCTCACACTCGCCCGGTTACTTCTTAACCAGCAATACGGGGGGAATATATGGGTTTGGGCCGCATACCGAGCCCGGAGCCCTCTCCTCGGACAGCACGCCAAATACGCATTTATTCTATCTGACTTATTTGTAAGTGTGAACTCGTGAAACCAAAATTTCGGAATCAGTGTGCAAGGGACCTTAAGTCAGGCCACAGCTAAATAACTAAATACTGCAAACTGGCTACCAATAACTCGGTTAGCCGAATTAATCCAATTTACATGAAGCCAACTCTGACTGGAGCAAAATTATTTACAGTGTGGAGTAAGATGTACCATGCAAAAAGTTACCTTTTCTTCTGTTCTTCACACGTGGCCCTTCCTGACTCAAAGACGTGGAGATGGAAGAGGCAGACAGAGATGGAGGAGAGACAGAGGGAGAATAGCGTGAAGAGGTAGAGGTGTTTGTCCGTTTAATTTGTCGCAAAGACTTAGAGCATGGCAGTGAAAGTGGGGAAGAAAGTGAAGGAAGAATAGTTGTACAAGTAGAAGAGGAAGTAGGAGAGAGAGAGGTTGGAGAGAGTGGGGAAGACAGAGGAACAAGGTTAAGAACAAATACAGTCTCCTTGGTTTGAATCTCCGCTACTTGACTCTCCGCCGCCGCTTGACTCTCCGCCGCCGTTTGACCCTCCGCTGCCGCTTGACCCTCCGCCGCCGCTTGACTCTCCGCCGCCGTTTGACCCTCCGCTGCCGCTTGACCCTCCGCCGCCGCTTGACTCTCCGCCGCCGCTTGACTCTCCGCCGCCGTTTGACCCTCCGCTGCCGCTTGACCCTCCGCGGCCGCTTGACCCTCCGCGGCTTGACTCTCCACCGCCATTTGACCCTTCGTCGCCGCTTGACTCTCTGCCGCCGCTTGACTCTCCGCCGCCGCTTGACTCTCCGCCGCCGCTTGACTCTCCGCCGCCGTTTGACCCTCCGCTGCCGCTTGACCCTCCGCGGCCGCTTGACCCTCCGCGGCTTGACTCTCCGCCGCCATTTGACCCTTCGTCGCCGCTTGACTCTCCGCCACCATTTGACCCTCCGTTGCCGCTTGACCCTCTGCCGCCGCTTTACTCTCCCCTGCCGCTTGACTCTCCGCCGCCGCTTGACCCTCCGCCCCTTGACTCTCCGCCGCCGCTTGACCCTCCGCCCCTTGACTCTCCGCCGCCGCTTGACCCTCCGCCCCTTGACTCTCCGCCGCCGCTTGACCCTCCGCCGCTTGACTCTCCGCCGCCGCTTGACCCTCCGCCCCTTGACTCTCCGCCGCCGCTTGACTCTCCGGTTGCTGTGCTGAGGAGGTTGCTATAATACAAGTTTACTTTAATTTAAAATCTGTACATATTAACAAAGAAATATACATGTATCTTAAATATTCATAATTTCTAAACCAAAACATTACTTACATTTTGTCAAGATAAATTCATAGGCCCTCCGCATCTTATCCAAAAGAGTTTTAGTGACAGGAGTGGGGTGCAGATGTGTAATTATATCTGCAACCCATTTATTTGAAGCCCTTTTGTCTGGCTTGCCAATAAATAAAATTGGCTTGTACCCCACAGCTTCCAGTTTACTCACCTGAAATGAACAAAAGCAGTTATCACACATTAGTTAAACCCAATGAATTATTAGAAACTTCAGTACTATATAAAGCAATTTTATTTTAAGGACATTTAATGAAGTTGGAGTACAATGCAAGAAACATTACTCTTGAACTGTATACAATCAATAGCCAGTTTCAGATAAGGCCAGAGGTACTCTGCAGTTTCTGCCTTTGCAATCATGACTTACTTACTTAATACTTCACAGAGAACACAACTTATAGTTACTATTTAGCACAATTTATAGGTAAAGATGGATTATTCCATGTATGAAATAAGACTATGTTAGTAAAGGCTAGGGCACATTAGTATATGTCTGATATTCAGTATGTGAAAAACACAGGCTTTCAGCTTCACTTCAGGTTACACTAATTTATGAAATATTAACACTTTTACTTACTGCAATACGGGCAGAATCAATTATACGCCCACCATTTCTGCTTTTAAGGACAGATTCCCCCCACTGGCTATCCAGTGACACCACTTTTTCCTTAATTTTCTTTTTGGTGGACAGGCTTGCAAAACAAACATTACAAGTTTTCCTGTTTGCCTGATTGGGGGTCTGGCAAGAAGGGCAGGGCCTGAATTTGGGCCTTGTCATTACTAGACAACAAATATACACAAAAACAAACAACACAGAGAGACACAGAGACACACAGAGAGAGAGAGAGAGAGAGAGAGAGAGAGAGAGAGAGAGAGAGAGAGAGAGAGAGAGAGAGAGAGAGAGAGAGAGAGAGAGACTGACAATTACACTACAGCACAGACAGGTATAAACAAGACAGACGTGGCTCTTAAAAGTGCCTTTATTGTGTGTGTTTCTGTGTGTGTATGTGTCGTGGGGGATTATAATAAAGAGCAGGCAAAATTGAAGGACCTGATGAGAGAGAAAAAAGCAAATCAGAATTGAACACCTTATATTTTACACCAGTATTCTTCATGTTGCCAGATTGGATAGGCCTAGTTTTCCAGCCATTTGGTTGGTTTTGGGTCGCACTATGTGTGATAAAAAAGGGCACAAAAATTAATTTGTATTATTTATTATACATTTGTTTGGGTGTTAATTATATAATTTTGCGTGGATTTTAAACAAATAGGCTGTAAAACAAACCAATCTGGCAACACCGTTCTTCATGAACATTTATAATGTTGAATAATAGTTGTGTGCTAATGTAATACTGAAAACCTTACTATCTCCCCTAGTATTACCTTACATGATTATATGCGACAAAATTTGACAAAAACTTGAATTCAATTAGCAGCTAACTAACTTTGCTAGCCTGCACAAAGCTATATTTTTATATTGTCTCCTTCTATCATTTACTGTCAAAATAAATTGCCACCTTACACATCTAAAGGTTCTAAACACAACTTCTTGTCCTGATTCAAGAGTTTTTGATGTGTACATTTAAGAATAGTATCCATCTCTATTAATTAACTCTTCTACTTACCGAGTGGAAAATTGCAATGGACCTTGGGATCGCCCCATACAGTGACGTCAGCGTTATTAATTTAGACAATTAAATTTTTTTACAAATTTAAATAAAAAACATTATACATTTTATAAACAGTATATATATTTATTAACATAAACAAACCTCCGATAAAAATACGTTATCCAGCATGCTCTAGCACGTGTACATCATGTAGCTGCTATGCCAGTAACGTTAAGTTACCTTCGACAAGAAAACGCTTAAACTGCTTTGCTTACTTGCACACGCCGTGGAGCGTTGTTAAACTCACCGTTGAATGCCGTTCTACATGCAGTTTAGCGTTGTTTTGGTTAAACTCACCTCTGAATGCCGCTTTACCTGCAGTTGAGCGTTGTTAAACTCACCGCTGAATGGGTTTGTACACCACAATGAGCGTTGTTAAACTCACCGATGAAAGCGGTTGCCTATGAACGCGCTAAACCTTTGCGGAGAGGGCAATTGATATCAGATTGTGGGGGTTTTTAAACATAAAAAAACAGATGGAGGGCCAGATAAAGATGATCTGGGGGCCACCATTATACTAGCCCTGGCATAGATCATTTATTGTAGCCTATTCCTTTCTATTTTTATTTATTGCAGTCTCGACTCTCGACCCATTCGCAGCAGACCATTGCGGTGAGCTTACCCAAGACGTCAAATTTCAACGCTACAGGCTCCGGTTCAGAGATCTATAGAAGTCTATCGGACTACCCTGCACGTTGAAAAATGACGACAAAGGTATACCCAGTGCGTCAATAAGTGACGCCAGGGGGTCCTGACCAAGCGTCCATATGTGACGAGTTGGGGTGTGAGAATGTGTTGGCTTTCCTCAATATTGAATACGCTGGGGCCATCAGGTGGCCAAAGTATTCTTTAATATTTATTTAATATTAATACATTTAATATTGTCTTATATGCCATGCATTTTATCTTTCTTTGTCAATGATATGTGTAAGAGCCAATTAGCGCTCTTAGTATAAATAGGAATCAATTTGGTTCCTTAGATGTTACCCGGAAGCACAGACAGTTTTTGACCACATACACATATGCACACGCAGACGCCGATGCCAGTACAAAGTCACACATGTGCAATGAAGTTTGTCTGGATATGGCGATATGATGGAAATAAACCGAACCCATGGTTTTAACTGCAAATACGACTTGGACTTTCATTAATCAAACAAGGTAAAAGTGCGTCAATTACTCAACCCCGGGAAAGCACCTCAGAGGCTTAAAGTTTGGACTTGGCCTCTACATAAGTTTTTTTTATTGATTTATTATTGCTTTGCACTTATTTCCTTTAGCACAGTTTAACTATGCAGCAAAACTGCATTTGCTTTGGCAACAACAAAAACATTTGTCATGGTAATAAAACACCTTATAATTCAAACTGAAAATTAAATAGCAATTACTGAACTGAGTTGGCCTGACGTTACCAGATGTTTAAAATTGTTATTATTATTTAACTCAATGAATTATAATTATTAATAAAAGTTTTCTGTACTAATTGTGTGTACATCTACGTCTTACCCCAAGGGTCTAACTTTAAACTTTCATTACAGACGAAAAAAAAAAAAAAAATTGTGTAAAATTGTGTAACAAATTTACAGCATTTACCCACACAGACAGTATGGAATGCCAAAGCTGACTTAATTAAAAATAAATAAATACATAAATAAATATATGAATAAATGTAAAAAAGCAAAAATACATAAATAAATATACAAAGAAATGTAAAAAAAGTACAAATAAATGAGTATTTATACTTTTATTTCCTTATTTATGTATAATTGTATTTTTTCACACATTTATTTATTTTTTTATTTATACATTTATTCATTTATTTATTTCCACTTTTATTTATTTCCGCATTTATTTATTTCCACATTTCTTTGTCCGTATGCTAACGAGGGGGCGTGTTTTACCTCAGACATCAGCAATCGAGCTCAGAGTGGCAGAGCTGAAGCTTTGAGGCCACAGTTACACCTTGTGGTGTGTGACCAAACGAAACGCAAGAGGTGTGCGGACAATATCACATTTTAAGTCATGTATATCACCCTAACTGTATGTAGGGTAGGCTATAGGGTTAACACACATAGCACACATGAAGAGAAACTGCACTTCAACGGCTCTGATAGCAGGCACTTGGACATGGAAGCGCATGAAAGTAGCCTATCCACTATTAATAACAATGTAAACGCGGTGGATAGGGCTGATAAGAGCTTGCGTTTACTCTCGATGATGAGACTCGCACACCAGTGCAGAACGCGGAGAGAAACCAGCGCACATTTCACTGACTCCTACGCAAGCATATTGATCAATGAGTTTGAAACGCGACTCAATACACGGTTTACATTCGCGTTTCCTAATTTCGTATGCATAACCGGTGACAATTCAAATGCTTAAAACACAACCCATATTTCATAGATGCTGCTCTTAGATACTGATTAATCACAAGTCATCAATTTGGAATTATTCTTAAATCAAACAAAAGGGGCTCATGTAAACGCAGCGAGTGAGCCACGCATCTCACCCCATGCAGTGGAGGACAGAAGCATCATCATGCCCATTCAAACAGCACCTGTCGTGCCCATGGTCGTGGTGATATTTCCCACTATAAATTGATGTTATATCTACCCAAACCTTATTAAATAGGTAGGCTATAGATCATCATATATGTCAAGTTCTTAATATTAATCGATAAACTACTCAGTTATAATTATAATAAGGCACTATGGCTGTTATCAGTAAAATAAAATTAACAAAAGTCATTAAGTCATTAAAAGTCAAAATCTTAATACAAAGGAGAATGCTTTTACACTGCAAATACAATTGCATAAAAGTCGTTATGAGATTAATGTTAAAAATAAATGAATATAGAAATATGAAATGATGGAATCAATTAAATTGGATGTTTCTGTCAGTAATTACTCACCCTCATGTTGTCCCAACCCCGTAAGACTTTCGTTCATCTTCGGAACACGAAATAAGATAATTTTTCATTAAATCTGAGAGCTGGATCACTCCTCCATAGGCTTCTTAATGGATTGAAACTGGCCGGGCCAAAAGTTATGAAAGACATCGTTAAAATAGTACACTACAGTGGCTCAATCTTAAGTTTATCAAGCGACGAGAATACTTTTTGTGCGCAAAAAAACAAACAAAAATAACGACTTTATTCAACTATTCATTTCCTTCTCTGTTGGCCTCGAAATTCCACGTAGTGAAACTACGCAAAGCTTCTAGGTTGTACTTAGTTTAATTAATGTCTTAGTATTCGGATTTTTAAAAAAGAAACCAGAAATTAAACACAAAAAACAGTAAAATAAACCTCAGAGTAGCGGTAGATTAAACAGAGATTGTAGATTGAAGCTAAATGTTCGTAATTATTTCAAAGAGAAGTGAAGAACAAACAGACGAGTAACACAGACGCAAAAAAAAGAAAAGAAAAAATTAACAGACAGAAGAAGAAATGGGAATAACTGGTGATTACCGTTTAGGAAAACAATATTTATATTCAGTACTGTAAGCTCACGCTCGATCGGCCCAAAGTCCGGCATCCAACCAGCACCGAAGGTCTTTACGTGTTACTGTCTTTTCTCGTGGCAAAGTATTTTTGATTAAGTCCAATGCATTTTCTCATAATGTATTTTCTCGTTATTTCATCTGACTCCATAAATGAAAAGGTTTTTAATGATATCCGTGAATCATTAAATGTGAGCGAATGTTTGACTATTCCTTTTAACTAAATAATGTCAAAGTCTCTTAGAATAATCAAATGTAACATATTTTTTTATTTCAGGTAAATGTCAAGTCAAGTCATCTTCATTTATATAGCGCTTTTAACAATGGATTGTTTCAAGGCAGCTTTACAGAGATAAACATAATTTAAGGTAACAGAGATTGTTTTGGTTTTATGTATCATTATTACAATTTCATAATCAGTTCAAAGATAATCAATACAAAACAGCAAATGCTCTGAAATAAAGAGGTGAAATGTTAACCCGACATTAGGAAGTACGTGAAGGAAATAGGAAATACGTCTCGGCGACACAGCATTCACAGGCTGATGTACAGAAAAGCCCTGAGCTCTCGTTGCGTTTCATTATATAGACAGATCTCTTCAAATGTAGACATGAGTTCACAGTGGAAATTCACCTTAATCACCGTCACAGACTTACTGGGTTTGCTAACAGTGGAAATTTGTATTGAGTTAAAATCTTCTGACCATTTGTCTGTAAGACA